AAAAGAAGGTAAAAACTGAGTGCTCTCCCAGAGTCTGTTTGCCCTGCATGACAGTTCATATCCCTGGTGGCTGTAGACTGCCTTTTCTGGGTGCCTATGTCCCCTGATACCCAGCTGGGTCCAGCCAGTGGGAGACTCTGGTGGGAAAATATGGAATGGGGGGAAGAGAATGGCCAGGATGTGCAGGGAAGGGGTGAGGAGGGGTGGGGGCAAAGCAAAGGTAACATCTCTTCTACGTGTTGAGCTCCTCCAGTTAGGCCCACCATGGTTCTGTCTTCCTCTGGAGGCCTTCCCCCATTTGTTCCTGTTGTTGCTAATCTCTGGATTGCCTCACCAACCTCCTATTTGGGTGTCTCAGTTCTTTATTACCTGGGTAACCAACCTGTTCCCTGCATTAAATTCCTCCTGCTAGATATGCTTTAAGTTGTTTCTGTTTGCCTAGTTAGACTCTGACTGGAATACAAGCCATTTTCATTTTATATTTAGTATGGTTATAAAATTGGCCGAGAATGCTGTTGGCATACTGTGTCCAGATTTCAGCAAGACTTTTGACAGATAATCTTACCATGTCCTTGTGAACAAAACAGGGGTAATTTAGATTGGATTATAAAACATTCTTAGATTGCTGAAGTTTATTAATGTTCAGATCAACCTGATGAAAGGGCTCTAAAAGTCTGCCAGAAGGCTCTGTCCTTAGCCATGTTCTAGTCAACTTACCAAAGATTTGGATGAAGACATAAAATGCAACTTAATCAAATGTGTCCATAACAGAGCTGGAAGGTAATGTAATTCAGAGTTGGAAAGGATAAACTTTATAAGGAAAAACGGAAAATCTCACAACTATATACAAGAAATAAATTATAAAAACATAGAATGGAAGAGACCAAGCTTCCCCGCTAATTAGGTGGGTAAAGAAATCCAAGATTGTTATTGACCACAAGCCCAATACAAGCCAGAAGTATGACTTGGTTTTTGTTTTGTTTTGTTTTTAAAGTGGCTGGGGGGAGATCCATCTTTGGGCCCCATTAGAAGATAAGTATGTTCCTATCAGCTGACAAGTATGCAGTTCTACTTCTCATGTAGAGCATTATGGGAAAGCTAGGAACTTACTCTAAGGAAGATATTGCTAAATCCATGTTCCCTGACCATTGTAAAGCTTTATGTGTAAAGTGTTGTGTCTGCACACATTTATTCACTTTTGTATCACAACAATCCAGTGGAGCATGTCCTGTTACCCTGTTTCTCAGCCTTTATTTCCTCATATGGATTCAAGTCAAAGTTACATAGCCCACAGTGCTCTAGCCTTAGGCAAGCACTGTGGTACTTCGTCCTGAACCCAACTTACTTCCCAAAAGCCCAGTTCTTGGTTCAGGACACCATACTGCATTTAGGTAAGAGGGGCCCAACTTTTGAAAGGTTGGAAAGCCTTACATGTTAAGGGAACTGGGACATTATACCAGGAGAAGAGACTTGCATCTGTCTCCTAGGATTTGAGAGTCTGTCATATGAGAGAAAGCAGAATTCTTTATGTGACTTCAGAGAACAACTAGTATGATGGAGTGGTAGTTTTTTCCTCAAATTTTA